TTATAACTAGAAACCGAAAAGTAAAAAAAGTGCTTGAATTACACCGTAAATTACTCTGTCAGTCCAGTATGCTTATGATAATTGAGCCATATCTGCACGTAATTAGTACTGATGAGAGCATGCATTTGCCATAAGTTAAGATTTGTATTTTTGCATCTCCTTGGTTGATTCTTTATTGGTAAGTAAGTCTGCATTTTACTTGGGAGCCAATTCGTGGACAGTTATCCCAACAACACCACATGCCTCCATTGTCCTTCAGCTAATAATGCTTGCTTCATGTTCTTTTAAATATTGAGCATAATCATAATTGGTTGTCCTCTAGCACCGACTAGCCAATGTAATCATAGCTTGCTGTTTTTATGAAAAGCGTTGCAACAATTATATCAGGGTTTTTTATTAATAGGAGAACTTCCGCACGCGGCGAATTTGAAAAGCTATATCGACGTGAGAAAATTGTTGTAATATTAGCCGTCCGTCCACACAGACTCTCGGGGAATGTAAGAGGGGACTACAAAGGAGGTGAAGGAAGTCTAAGATGAGCAGCTTTCGTTTGTCCTGGTAAAACGTTAACCAGTTTAGTGGTTACTAATAGAGTTTATGCTTTCTTCATTTTTGTTGTTGTAGTTGTTGTTGTTGTTGTTGTTTGACTAGCGACAAAAAAACTTTGAAAAATAAAAGACTCTGCTTTTAGCTTAGTCATGCCAATCAAGTCACAGATTAGGCAAAACTTTGACAGGTGTATATATTATATGTAGTCCAATTTTAATCCTTGTTTTAAATTTTATTTTTCTTTGTTTCAAACTCGTTACCATATACAAAACATACCCCACAACAAAGGAAAGTAAAAACTTAAACCTAGCATGAAATTGAACTACAGTGGAACCCCGTTAATGCGACCACATTTGGGTTATAAAATCCTGGTCGTAATAACGAGGTGGTCGCATTAACGGGGTCCTCAAAATAATAAAATGACTCAATGGTTTTTACGTTTGGTTTGAAAGAATATGGCCGTAATGACTAGGTGGTCTTATAAACGGGGTGGTCGTAAGGCGGGGTTCCACTGTACAACGTACATAAGCGTTAAGTCTTTTGCAACATCTTGCAATTTCGCTTACGGACAACTGAAGCTTAGTGTAATTTTAACCCTTTAACTTCCAATGCTCTGCCACAAAATGAAATGCAGCTGCTGTCAAGACTGGTTTGTAATTTAAAGCTGTTTTAATGGTTTGTTTATTTGGTTTATGTTTGAGAAAAACGTCCCATAAAAGGAACTGTATTTAAAGATGGTTGCGTTTTTCAAATTTCATGCAAGCGTTGTAGTAAAGTAAAAGAAAAACCGATTTACTGCCTTTTAGGAACTCCATCTCTAGTGAACACTGAACATTTATTTATTTTAGTAAAATTTATTTGTTTCTTTATTTTTATCTGGTTTCACTTTCCCTCCGATTTTGGGAGTAAATATTTCTAGTCACGTACGATCATCGGCATCTTTGCAATATTTGTTTGGGACAATGTATTGTCCTTTATTATAGTATCAGGTTTAATACACAGGCTTAAGATTATAAACATTTTTTCGTGTTTCCTGTATAAAAAAAAAGTTCTAAAGAACGCAGCCGCGCTACTCGCACTCTTGAATGAATGTAGGCTGTTGTTGTTGTACCTATTTCAAATATTTTTTTTTTAGTTGTTAGTCAATAATTTTGCATTGTTCAGCTTTTATTTTTTCATTAGTTCGTGGAATGGCACTTGAATAGAGATCGTTGCTTTGTGTACACTTTCCCATATTTCTCTATAGTATAAAATGAGTCGTAGCTTGCCTTTAAGTTGTTGCAATGTTTATTTTGTAGTGGACATTTCTCAACGAATGCAATGCAAAACATATACCGCGCTGTTTATGTAGACTCCTGAATTATAGTTCCTAGTTCCTAGTACTGTTCCTAGAGGAAACAAACATGATCCTATACTAATGTTTTCTTTCATCTCTTCGGACATCGCGAACTTTTTTATAACGTTCAATTTAAAGTCCTGCAATGTATATATTAGAATAATAGGTATTTTTATTAGCCTCTATCAATCGATTGAATTAACCGTTGCTGTCGAAAATCTTAACTGGGAAATTTTTTTTCTGTAGCTTTTCAGATTTTTATCCATGTTCGACACATTATAAACAAATGGCCTTACTATTTTATGCAACAAGGATGAGTACAGTGTATTTACCCATATATCTCAAAAGCATGACAGATTCGTCTACCATGAGGCAGATCGATTTGATGATGCAATATATTGATTTCTCACCACCTTTAACAAGACGCTTATTCGTGCTCACTTTTCATATACACATCGACTGTAGAACTATGTTTGATACATTAATTTTCTTTATATTGTAAAATAAAATTGTCATAGTTTTTGGTTACGCTTTAGGTAAGTCAAGGGAACTCTAGAGCAAACCCGGTTGTTCTTTATTAATATGAAATTGAGACATGAGGGACAGGAAAAATGA